TTCAAAACATCAGGCATGTAGGCCGAATCTATACAAAATTCTTGAAAACTCTCCTGCAGTAAGATTTGCATTCGTACAATATTCATGCCTTAGAGAAAAAAATCAAGTAAACTAACATTTAAAGCTAAAATTAGGTAAGCTAAGTTATATAAATATCAGTCTACTTAAAAGTTACAAAAAGGAAATATTTCCCACAACAAACACACAAGCTCTGGCATTGGAAAGTTTTACTAACTAGTACAGTCCTATACAAAAATGAAAAATATTACCTTCAAAGAAGGATGTAAATTAAACTGCAAATATTTCGAATTCAAATCAATCAAAAAAATTTCTTTACTTAATTTTGAATATAAGAAAACGTAAAAATATAAAAACTGTAATAGCACCTCACTAGGAAGCTTTACAACTTCTAATACAGCGAAAAAAAAATTAAGAGAGTCATGGTCATTTTAACAAAAGGTAGGATAACCAAAAAAAATAAGTTCCTTAAAAACTATATTTTAAAATAGTTTATTAATTCAAAAATAACAAACAAAAGCTCTAAACTGTTGGCCAGACAACAATCACAAACAAAAAAAAGCAATTCAAGCCGTTAGAAATGTTATTAGCTTGATAAAGAACTAACAAATCCCTGGAAAGATTATAGTGAAAAGTAGGACTAAAAACCAAAAGCTTCAAAACATCAGGCATGTAGGCCGAATCTATACAGAATTCTTGAAAACTCTCCTGCAGTAAACAATTGTCTTCTAAGAAATAACTAAAAACAAATATTTACGTCACATGGAATCGACTGATTGGATGCTTAGTATTAGCCTCAATTTTTTGGAATAATATTCCATCTAGAATCAAGATGTAAATTTACAACTGAACTGCATAAGCATATTGACACGTGATTGATCTCATTTAGGACCCACATATCATCATCCAAATAAGCAGATAGAGAACGCAGCTCAAGCAACTCGAAGCAATACAATATATGTCAAAATTTCAAATACAATGGTGCGCCCGCGTGCATTTTTCATTTATGCTCTAGGGTTTTTTATTGAAAAAAAAATTAAAAGTGCAGGTTGTTTGAGCAAGATTAGGGTTTACAAGTGGAAATGCTAAGCTTGTAATTTTTCAAGTAGAGATTACCGGAGGGCTAAAGTCTTAGTTCCCATTTCGAAGATGATCACAATTATTCTTTGATCGATAGTAAACAAAATATTGTATTTTAATGTCATGTTTCTTTCATATGTAATGGATTTCAAACGAGTTCAGGACTTTCTTATTAGTACACCTCTCATATTTCTATGAATATTGGCTTAAACAGCGTAATAGTACAAAGAGGATACAAATTCATTTTTAAAAGAAATATCATATGTAGTCATATTGTTTTGCTTGAAACGATACATTAAATTAATGACTTCTTAATTAACTTTGCTTGAACAGCGTGAGGGTACAAAGAGGATGCAGCCCTATTTTTTAAAAATAATAATAATAATAATAATAAAAAGATTTTTGCAGTCATCTTGTGTTGTTTTAAACAATGTATCGTTTTGGTAAGTATGTTTTGTTCCATATATTGATGGATTATCAATGACCTTTGCTTGGATAACATAAGTAAAAAGAAAGTACAAAGAGGATACAAACTTATTTTGCCGTATTATGTTACTTTAAGCATTTTGGTTCCATACATTAATGATTTTTCAATGAACTTTAGCTTTTAAGCATTAAGGTAGCAAGAGAGCACAAACTATTTCATATAGTAATATTTTTAAAGAACATTAATTTTTAAGCATGTTGGTACAAAGCGTGTACAAACCCATTTTTTATGGATAAAGCTTTTGTGGTCCTCTAGTTTTAGGCCTTTCAGCATTAGAACATTCTACCTAACAAAAGGGTCAAACTAGCTGCTACTAAGTTGAGGAAAAAATGCTTCCCTTTGGTAGGAGAACTTGAAAATGGAGATAAAAATGGAAGAAGGGAAGAGTAAAAACACCACATGGTCTAAGATAAAAATGGAGATGCAGCGCAAATACCTTCCACCACATTACCAACATAATATTTTTGTAGAACTTCACCACCTGAGCTAGAGAGATTCTTCTGTGGAGTATACAGTTGAATTTGATTAACTCGTGATAAAATGTGAGTTGGTGGAACTTATGGAGCACACAGTAGCAAGGTATCTTGGAGGAATGAGATCTTTTATTAGTAATGGGGTGCAGCTGCAGCCATATTGGTCCCTGCTTGATGTACTGACCCTAACTCCGAAAGAAAAAACAAACAATGTCACCAGGTGACCCCTACACTTTATAGGCAGAGTTCAATCTCATGATAAGGCAGCAAAAGCATACTTAATAGAGCATCCAAACCAACCCAACCAAAGGGGAAATAAATCCATTGTGCAGAAAAGTTGGAGCCCACTAGCACTCCCAAATTTGTCCTAACTAACAAGTGTTTCACGTGTCATGGTGTCAGGCACATTGCATTAGATCGCTCAAATAAGAGAATAATATATTTTACTGAGTAGAAAGAGATTGAAGAAATGGGCAGAGACATAGGAGAAAATAAAGACATCAAAAGGAGTATCAACTCGCAACCGATGAGAGAGAGATGCTAGTGAATCAAACTGAGCCAATGAGAAAGCCTCCAACAGGATTAGCATTGATTGTCTTAAAAGGTTGTGAGTCCAAGGTAACGGATGTTTAGATAGAATTTGAGGATTTGGTGTCATGAACTACCTTTTTGAAGGTATTAAGAGGAACATCAACAGGACTGACAGTAGTTGTCAATAAAGTCAAGAGTTCTATATCAACATGACAATCGATAGGTCGTAATGGAGAAAAAAGATTCAAGTAACCGACCCCACTTAGTGGGATAGACTTGTCATTTTAACACACACACACACACATTATATATATATCAATATTTTTTCTAAGGTGAAATCGATATATATATATATATATATATACATGTATGTTACAGGTCGCAATATTTCTACTGCTTCTCTACCGCCTCATCAGGTCGAGCACGATGTTAATGTTACTTAGGCACATGAGGTTCATGATGTGCAACAACCTACACCTGTCCGGCCACCTTTAGACCAATTCATTGATCATATGAGTCAATCCTCGAATGAGGAATGACAGGTTTATACATCCAGGAGGAAGAAGAAGAATAGAGACCTACTTGAGCTTAGAAATCTGGTTGATGATACTTTGGTTACTTCAGGTAATGGTACGTACCTCACCAATTTGTTAGTCGGCTCTCTTCCAAGAACTAGCGGCAGAGGGAGGAATAAATTGGGATTTCCCTAGCGCTCTGTGCCCGTTGGTGGTTTTGGTTTTTTGATCTTATATGTATCTTTTCTTTTTTGAGATTATGTGTGTGTTGCATCGTGTGAGTTGGGCTTTCTTTTAGGTCCACTCATACAACATAAATGTATCTTTTCCTCATTAATAAATTATAATATATTAGCCCTTGAGCTTTTCTAATATATATATATATATATGTATAACTTTAATTACTTTTAAACATCTATTATTTTGGATAAAGGTGATTTTTTTCATTACTTTTGATAAATTTTAGCAAGCACTCATACTCAACTGAGATTGATCATACTTGCTTTGAATTCTCTTTTGACAATTCTAATAGAAAAAATGAGGAGAAAACTTCATTAAAATTTGTACATGAACTAGCACCAAATGGCCTATAATATACCACATTTTTTTTTATTTTGCATGCCATTTATTTCACCTTAAATGAATAAGATGTTGATATTACAAAGGAAAATATGAAGAGTGACAAAGACTATAAAGTTTCATCTTTGAGGATAGAAAGAAAGTGATTAAGTTATATTGCATATTTTTCCTAGAAATTTTACATTTAAAATTACTAAATCAAAAGATACAAAAGATACACAAAATTGTGCAAACAAAATGTAACATATCCTGGCTTGCTATGCTTAATTTGCCGCATTTGGAACTTAAACCTTGAACATTTCACTATAAGATGGTTATATAGATGACAATTTAAAAGTTAGGTTCGCTGGTTTTGTGCATTTATTTTGTCCTCTTTTAAGATTCATTTGACATGATCAAATAAATGTAAAAGCTACTACATAAATGCAAATCATGGTATTATTCTTTAGGTCTAAGAGATTAAAAAACAATTTCACTCCCTACGAAGATTTCAAATCACACAATTTACAGGATTTGTAGGTCGTTTTAATGCTTCCCCTTCCACTCCCTTGCAAGAAAAACCTCCATCCAGATCTACTTAGCCTAAATAAGTTTCCATCTACATATCACTCCCATCAATTAGTTGTCAGTATTCACTGTGTCACACATTAGTTTAAACAAAAAGGGGTTGTCAAAAAAGCTCGTTCTTCGCGAACAACTCGTGTTCTACTCGTTAAGTAACTAGTGTTCAAATCGTTTGTTGAGTAAGCGAACCGAGCACGAACAAATTTTTAGGCTAGACTTAAAAACAATCCGAATCATATTCGGCTTGTTTTAGCTCCAAATAAAGAAATTATATATATATATATATATATATAAGCTTGAATCACCATAGTTCGTGTGGTCATGTGGTTCTACGACGTTTATTGCATTGAAATCATGCAAGTTCAAATCCAACAATCCATACTTATTTTTCTAAGTAATTTAAACAAACCAATTTCAAGCCGAACACAAACATAAATATATAAATTGAGCCGAACAGAAACACATTGTTCACGAGCAATTTCGCAAAAAAATAATTTCAAATGAGCCAAACACGAGCCAACTATGAGCTCGCTCAAGTTCGGCTCATTTACAGCCCTAAAACATAAGATGAGGCATCCAAACATATTTGTTCATAAAAGTCAGAAAAAATGTTTGCAAAAATAAAACTCTAGGTACCCTTACATATCTATCTGATTTTCTTAATCTTAGCAAGAATCCAGTCCTAATAAAGTAGAGGCAATGACATACATACCACCCAATTCATACGTATTTACATATCTAACACCAAATTTTACTTTCTACGTTTATATTAACCAAATCTTTCATATCACATCAAATATACACTATTTTAATTTTTCAAAGGAGAAATAAACATTTTCCTGCATGAATAAGATCATATTAATGTAAAAATTGAACTTTAGGTGTTAGATATGTAAATACATAGGAATTGAATGGTATATATGTAAATCTTCCAAAAAAGTAGCTTAGAGTTAGAAAAAATGTAGTAACTTAGGAGCACAGATGCAAATAATATATATAGTTATGTATGTATGCATTTATAAATACACATGCACTTATATACCCATTGCATTTGGATTTTTATTCGGTTACATACCCATAGCATTCTGCTTCAGCGCATATTAAACTAACAAAACCCTTAGTCTATAAATCATAAATCAGCAAATAATTGGAACATAGAAATAAAACACATACTCCGGTAACACATATAAAATGCACACACATCAATGCATAATTATAAATGATATTATATAAACTATATAGATATGTTGATAGATGGATAAATTTGTCAAATCTTTTAACATTAAACGGACAACTGTGCACATTGATGATCTTAGCATTATGGTTATACACGAAATTAATACCTTGAAAAGTCCATTTCTGTACACAATAAATTCTTTTTCATAAAATATTATATGTTAATCTAAACTATAAGAATAACTTAGGGTTTTGCACATGATAACGATCTTAAAAAAAGATTGTAGCAAAAATAATAAAAACATACCAAAAATAGTTGCATCATTTTCTTATGAGCCTTTTCGGATAAATTTTAATTTTTGTTTTTTGTCATTTTTTTTATTTTAATTTGTTTATATTTTGATTTAAAACAAAACATATTTGGTATGATAAAACATGTTTAGTTACTTTAAAAAAACACTCAAAATAATTTTTAGATATTTTGAATCTTTTTAAAAACAAACAAATTTATTTATAAAAATAAAAAAATAAAAAACATTCCAAAAATGTACTAAACAAACATGTTTTTGATGTAAAAGCAAAAATAATAATAATAAAAAATAAAAAACAAAATTGAACCCAAACAAAACCCTTAGGGGTCATTTGGGATCACTTTTGTTTTTTGTTTTTTATTTCTTATTATTTTGTTTTGTTTGTGTTTTGATTTAAAATAGACTTATTATTTTGTTTTGTTTGTGTTTTGATTTAAAACACAATATGTTTGATATGTTTGATAAATGTTTTCAAAAACATTTTTATTTGTTTTTAGAAATAAAAAATAAAAACACGTAAAAAATACACTAAACAAATATGTTCTAAGAAATAAAAGCAAAAATAAAAACAAAAATGGGTCCAAACAAGCCTTCAGTGAGTTAAACTTGGAAATTTTATTCAAACTTACAAGACGGACTTCATTTTCATTTGAGTAAAACTTGCTTAAAAGATATAAAGGATCATTTTCTCGTCATTTGATCATCCAGCAGAGAGCAAATTTTCAATGATTAAGGCTGCTATGCAATTCTAAAGTTCATGGATATTTAAATCATGCAACTATTTATTGACTGCTAAGCAATTCTAAAATTCATGGGATTTTAATTCATGCAACTTGTTATTGAATATATTGATAAAAGTGGCTTTATATTCCATTTGGATACTCGGTGGTTGAAAAAGAAACAAGCAAATAATTGAGAGCGAAAAATATATCCATAGAATAAAAAGAGATGGATGAAGTGCAGAACGAGGCTGAAAAAGAGCTAGTAAGTAAAAGAAACCTTTGATAATGATTTGCATAAAGAAGTAAATTTTGCTTTATCACTGGGGGAAATTAGTGCAATAGAGCAACCATCAAATGAAGCTCTTGCAGTTCTACCACTTCTGTGAATATAAACCTGAATAGAAAGGTTTAAATCTATTCTAAGCAGAAGACAGCATAATAAGAGAATGAAAAATAGATAAAGCTATTGGACATACTTCAGCCGAGTGGGGCAATTGGTAGTGAACAACTGTTCGAATACCTGGAATATCAAGACCTCTGGCTGCAACATCAGTAGCTATCAAAACCCCATGCTCATTGTCACGGAAACGATCCATGGCCTGATAAAAAAGGTTGTACTAATCAGTCCATTGGTAAAATCATAAAGTATCCTTAATATTGTTTCAAAATTTAAGCACTGAATATTTCAAAAAAAGAAGATTTACATAAAAACCAATCAATTCCTATGTATTTACATATCTAACACCTAAACTTCAATTTTTACATACATGACACCTAACCTCGGCATGAAAAGGTGAACTTCACTTTTTAAAAGTTAAAATGATAGTATTTTTTTATGTAATATGAAAGATTTCTATGTTATAAATCAAGTCAAAACTAATGAATATCTATGATGTCCTAAATATTTCATTAATAAATGGTTGATACTACCTTTAAGCGGGCCCTTTGTTGCATCTGAGCATGAAGGGTCCAAACACTAACATTAAGAAGATGCAGTAAAGATGAAATGTGACGTAACGCCGCAATTGATGTGCAAAAAACAATTGTGCGACCTTTACAATGAATACTTAGAATGTAATATAAGTATGCATCTTTTTCTTCTTCACCGCACCTGTTAGTAAAAAACACAAGACCACAAGTCAAAAAAAAAAAAATTTTGAATGGAACTTCGCTGACATGATATGAAATAGTAATTGACAACATAAAGCTAACTGCAGCCTGCTATTATGTAAATGCACCATAGTTTTTATATGTAAGCCGTCCGAAAAGACTGACGAGATGGACCATATCCATGCTCAGAGTACCAAAGTCAAGGAAATACTAAGAGATGGGCGGGCAGGCACCAATAAAAAGATTGCAAAATCAGCATTATCCAAATTTATTTGAATATAACAAAATAGAACTAAAATTAAAAAAAAAACAAAACATTATTTGTTCAAATCGATGCTACAGAAATGACAAGAAAGTGGAATTAATGTAATTTCACAATAGTTTGGCTATAAAGCAAGTAAGAACGGAATATAAATAACGATAACAAAAAAATCATATTTTGAAAGCAAAACCATGTTATAATAGGAAAGTCCACCGACCACATAGAAGTAATTTAGTTTGGGCAACTCATGTCTTTGAGGGTAAGGAATGCTGCATATATACCATCATTCCTTTAATTAAAGCATATTTTGCCTGCAAAAAAATTACTACAAATTGGATATTGGAGTGATGAATACAAAAAACTGATTGACATGCTTCTGGGTGGCTTAAAGACTAAAATACGCAAAAAAAAAAAAACAATAGAATTAAAAAATTAACACGTTTCCCAATCTTGTTAGCTTAGAGCAATCCACTTCTCAGCCTTAATACACTTCCATGGTTTCCTGAAAGATGCAGGTTTAAAGAAACATGGCTTTTAAACTAACACTGAGCCACAGCTAACAATGCTAAAACATTCTTGAAGAAATAAATAGATAAATTTATGGAAATGATAACTACAGAAGACAGACAGCTGAAAAGGATCTTGGAAAAAAGAAAAAAAAAAGAATAAAGATAAAATTTATACTCAATTAATGACTCCACAAGCTTATCTGCCACAATAGAAGCACTTGTCAAATCAATAATTGCAACATCAGGTCTCATTCCAGCTCGCTCTGAAAGCTTTTCAATAGAAGTTAATCCATCTGTCATGGCTGATTTTGTAGTGGATGAAGTACGCTTTAGCTTCTTGCGAAAATTGTCCGATAAGGCAACAGTGGCAGAGAAAACAAATGTCTGTCTCTTCTTTCGTGGCAAATTTAGGATTGTTTTGTGAGTATTATTTGTTACAGAAGCTTGCTCTATAGTGCCATTAACTGTTGGAAGCATTTTGTGAGTATTATTTGTTACAGAAACTTGCTCTATAGTGCCATTAACTGTTGGAAGCATGTCAATGATGGATTGGAGCTCATTAAAATGCCCATTCTCTATCATTCGATCAGCCTCATCCAGCACAAAGAAGGACAAAGAATGTAGCTGAAATATTGACATTAGATATTTTTAGTTTCTCCTTGACAAAAAATAAACAGTAATGGTTCAATTAATAAAATAACGAAGAACCAAAAAATCATCATCATCTTCAAAATACTTAGCCATATGACAACTACTTAGTGAAGCCTTTATGAATCCCCATCTCGTCTCTTCAACAAAGTATTTCATTAACTGTTGGAAGCATGTCAATGATGGATTGGAGCTCATTAAAATGCCCATTCTCTATCATTCGATCAGCCTCATCCAGCACAAAGAAGGACAAAGAATGTAGCTGAAATATTGACATTAGATATTTTTAGTTTCTCCTTGACAAAAAATAAACAGTAATGGTTCAATTAATAAAATAACGAAGAACCAAAAAATCATCATCATCTTCAAAGTACTTAGCCATATGACAACTACTTAGGGAAGCCTTTATGAATCCCCATCTCGTCTCTTTAACAAAGTATTGCATGAGAAGTTACACCGATAATGTATGTATGTATGTATGTATGTATGTATGTATGTATGTATGTATGTATGTATGTATGTATGTATGTATGTATGTATGTATGTGAGTGTGTGTGTGTTTAGTTTCTCCTTCACAAAAAATAAACAGTAATAGTTCAATCAATAAAATAACGAAGAACCAAAAAATCATCTATGTATGTATGTATGTATGTATGTATGTATAGATGTATGTATGTTTATCTGTCTGTATGTGTGTGTCTATGTGTGTGTGTGTGTGTGTGTGTGTGTGTGTGTGTGTGTGTGTGTGTCATATGTGCATGTATGTCATATATGTATGCATGTTTGTATGTATGTTTGTATGTATGTCTGTGTGTATGTATGTCATATATGTATGTATGTCTGTGTGTATGTATGTATGTATGTATGTATGTATATCATATATGTATGTATGTTTGTGTGCATGTATGTATGTGTGTATGTATGTAATATATGTATGTATGTTTGTGTGTATGTATGTTTGTATGTATGTGTGTATGTATATATGTCATATATGTATGTATGTTTGTGTGTATGTATGTATGTATGTATGTATGTATGTATGTATGTATGCCTGTCTGTATGTATGTTTGTGTGTATATATATGTGTGTGTGTGTGTGTGCGAGAGAGAGAGAGAGAGAGAGAGAGAGAGAGTGTGTGTTTCTTTTCATATAGAGCCGCATCCCTGGGCCTCCTGTAAAATTTTAATTAATTGGCAGAAACCAAGGCCCCTATAACACCAGAAAAAAATTCTAATAAATAATGCAGAAAAATGATAGGAATTATCGTCTTTTACAAAAATTAGGGTTAAGTTATGTAAGTTTACAATAAGACTAATAAATAATGCAGAAAAATGATAGGAATTATCGACTTTTACAAAAACTCCCTCAGCCGACTGGGGCAATTGGTAGAATAATTATACTAACCTCCACAAGATGTTCATTTCCCCCTGACATTAGTTCCCATAGCCTTCCTGGAGTTCCAACAACAATCTCCGGCCTACTCCTAAGTAGCCTCTCCTGTTTTTCTGAATACATACCACCCACAATGGAAACTATACGGATATTGATATTTTTGGCTGCCTTCTTCAGATGATCAGATACCTGTAAAAAGAATCACGAAATGCTTACAATTATGCCCATACATTACAAATTTAGTTCCATCTGAGGAATGGTATAAATTTTAAAAAAAAATTACTGCATAAGGCATTAGTGAAAGAAACAACAGCAAGAATTTTTTTTATTTTTTCATAGGAAAAATTGCTTACTTCAAGAGCATATATGTGAATATATAAACAAACAAAGGCTAACATATTCATAAGCTATCTCATATCTATGTTTTTGTTCATTGAAAGAATTAAAATAAAAAAATAGACAAAAAAGTTCTTTTAAAGTGATGTAACTTTGTAGTTAGCACACGAAAAAGATACATAAAGTAGTAGTTACATAGAATTGTCAGCATAAAAAATAAAATAAAATAACATTGGATCAAGATAGAATAAAATGAAGTAAAGAGGATGGAAGAAAGTTCACATTCAGACGCTAGCTAAGTCCAGAACACTAAAATCAACAAAAAAGTAATTATTTCTAGTTTGGAATCTAATAGATCTAAGAGAAAGATGAATGACTACCAGTAAAATTATTTTATCTTTCAAACCAAAAAATATATATATATAGATGATAGAATTTTCAGAGTGCATCAAGCTATGAAAAATTAACATTCATCACTTCAAAAAAATTAAAAAAAGGGTTGGTGCAATCATAATATCACATGAAAATGAAATACTATGGGTAACAAAGTGTCTCTCAATAAGTTGACATGTATCAATTGCCGGTATCGTTCTTGAGATATCAGAAGTCTCAACATAGAAAACAGATGATATCATAGATGAAGGAGCAGGCGAATACTATGAACTTACAAACCATCAACAATTAGTGATGGCATTAACTCAAAAGATGAATCTATACAAATATCAATAGCATGAGATCCAACGGAAAGGAACAAGGCATATAGCTAGAATCTCCAAGCAAACTTGCGGGCTCCATTTGATAACGAGTATTTACAATACAAAAAAACTTACTGTTTCGTATTATGATTAAAAAAAAAGTCAACAGTAGATGGAAACTTAAAGAAGATTTCTTTAATTTTGAAAGGGCCTGAAACGGATCGTGAAGTTCCAGACCATGGAACCGCGGGACCTTCGGCGATCCCGGCAAGACCATGCCTCTAGCCTTTCTTCTCTTTTATGTTTTCTTTTCTATTATACTTTATTCCTTTCTAATATTTTCCTATATATGTCTTGTTAGGGTTTGGAAGTCGGTTTTGATTGTGTTTTTGTTTGAGGCAGTGGCCGGCATCTCTGTTTCCCATCTAGGGCTGTATCCAAGGGTTGATTGATGCCCCGATTAAATCTCGCTCTCGAGGTGGTGATTATCTCCCTTGTTGCCCTCACCATCCTTTCCACGTCTCTCCAAACCTCCCCTTCATTGTTGCAGGCCGTCTAGGACAGCTCTTGTTCCTGTCAACAGCAGTTCCAGCCATCCAAACCCAGCCTTCCACCTTGTTGCCACTTACCAAAACCACAAACTTCACCCTTCCACATTGCCACCACTTACCAAAACCAGAGTTCCACCTCGCTGCTGCCCTAGGACAGCAAAGGTATTGCTGTTGCTTGCTGTGCAGGCCCTTCCGCTTCACTAACGTCACTTCGAACACCCTCAACCCGCTGTTTTACTAGCTGTCCTGCCCCCAACCTCCTTGTTGCCTCCCAGGACAGCAAGGACCTGCGGTTCCGTTGCCATACCCGCAAACATGCTCCGCTTTTCCACCTTGCAGCCACCTTTCCGGGCCCCCAGCAGCCACCACCACCACCTTCGATTCACCTTAATCCCAGCCCCCAGCAGCCACCACCACCACCTTCGATTCACCCTAATCCCATGTTTCACCTTAATCCCATGTGTGTTGTGTGTGTTGTTATTTCCTATTGTAATTGTCTAGTTGTAAGTTTCTATTTGATTTCTGTAATGATATTTATTTTTCTCTGTTGTGTTAGTTAACTCCAATATTATTTGGTATCAAAGCTGGCCTAACCCTAGCCCTACCTTAGGGTTACCAACATCCAACACTATCTAACCCAAACTCCACACCAAAGCCCTTCCACTTGAAAATTTTTCAAATCAGCCGCCCAAAAATTTTCATTTCCACCCAAAATCATCCCCATGCACCCTCTTCCACCGCCCCAAACCTAAACCCTAGCCTCGCCGCCGACTAGACCATTGTTGGAAACCTGATCTGGAAGAAATGACACAATATTACTTATCAAAAATCCACAAAGAGATGTCCAAGAACTTCTTATGGAATATATGCAGCGGAAAATCCTCCAACTGCAACGGAGGCTTGTCACCTTCGATAAGAGGCAATCAGAAAGTGTCATATGTAATCACAATGGTGATTCGTCAAATCAAATGGATGAAATGAATCCCTTCCACTGACCAGTTTCCAGCGACCAAGAACCAATACCACTGAGATTTGGCATGGAATATCACAAATGTGCCAGAAATTTGGAGTGCAAGGTGACTTGTCATATTTTGACAGTTGCATGTCCGGATGAGTTCATTAAATGGCTCAAGACAATGGAAGTATCTTTGCATACCAGAACATCCTACCAGACAGAATAGTAAAGCTAGATGCCATCAAGTTAAAGAAGAGTGTACAACTGTGTTGAGAAAATTTGAAGTACCTACGTTAGTAGGAAGGGAAAAACAAAATCACTATATGGTTTAAGATGAAATGAGAGATGCAGCACAAGTACCTATCAGTTCAATACAGCAACACATCTCTTAAAAATAGCATCACCGGTTGACCGCCATATATGACTGACAGAGCACAACCTCAAGATTAAGCACCAACATTACACCCAATGAAGCATCCAAGTTGGCCCCGCCTTAAGAATGGAGAATAGGTGGAGCCAACCAGCATTCTCAAATCCGTCCAAGTCCAGAAGTGTGTCAAGTGCTACAATTTTGGAAATGGTGCATCAGTTTGCCCAAACAAAAGTATGATCTATTTCACTGAACATGGAACAGTTAAAGTAATAGCCAGTGTATAGGAGAGAATGAAGATGTCAAATATGAGTCACAACATGAAGCCGAGAGGAAGTTGTGCTAGTGATTCCAGCTGAGCCCATGAGCGACACAAGTTGGATTAGCCATGATTGTTCTAGAAATCCGAAGAGCCGAAATCAAAAATAAAACAGCCCCTACGAAAGAATTGCCAGACAACATGACCGACAGTTTACCTATTGGATTGCTGTCACTTAAAGTGATCCAACATTTTACAGATTTCATTCCAGAGTCGGTTCTTCCAAGCAAATTTGGTTATCGAATGCGCCCAGTAAAGTTTGATAAATGGAAGAAGTAAATTATGAGTTTAATGGCTCGAGAGTTACTTTGTGAGAATCTATGTCTATATATTGTTTCAGCTCGGGTTGTACCAAAACAGGATGAAAACTTATTCTATCAGGATGTGCTTGGAATGACAAAGCCTAAAGGGTTGACTTATCGGAAGATGAAGATTACAAAATTTCGATTGCTTTCAATGTGGTAGACTTGACTATAAAATATGAGGAGATAGAAGTCTCTCCTAAATACGGAAGACTAATGCAGGTGTAACAGCCCTCTGAACCGAACATAAGAATAGCCGCAACTTGGACCGGTTCGGAAGAGGAGTTAGAGGGCTGGTCGACACTCCTCTAGCCTAAGGCTTGCCGACCAAAATGAGTGGGCCCCCCTTAGGGGCTGGTCGACACTCCTCTAGCCTAAGGCTTGCCGCCCAAAATGAGTGGGCCCCCCTTAGCTAACTACCCTAGTATAATATATGTTGTTTTGTCGTGTTTTATGTGAGTTTTTTCGTGTGCTTTATTGGAAACAGTTGTCGGCATCTCGAGTTTCCATCCTAGGGTTGTAGTATTTTGGTTGTATCTCGCTCCCGAGATAGTGATTAACCTTTTTTCCATCATTCTGCAATGCTTCCTGTCATTAGCTGTTGACCTTCCCTGCTGCAGCCGCCACAAAAAAACACCTCCTGACTGTTTTTTTCTGCAGTTCCACGTTGTCTCCACTTTCCAGAACCAATCTTCCACCCTGTTGCTGCCTTTTAGACTTGTGTCGCACCTCTCATTGTTGCTTCCCAGCTGCGCATTTCCTTTGCATACAACCTCCCCGCTGCTTCCAGACTTCCAACCACGTTGCTGCTTCTAGCCCTGATACAAGCAAAGCTTCCACATGTCGCTGCCTTCCAGACTTGCATCCCATCTCACTGTTGCTTCAACAATCATGTCTAAAAATTTTGCAAGAGTTGCAAAGCAAAGGCAAACCATTAAATTAAACATTTTGTAAGTAACAGCACGAGCAAGTGCCAATCTATAAACTCCAAGCCCAAAGGGGTAGAAACATCCATTCAAACAAGAACATAGCCGACAAATGATCAAGAGAGCCTTATAGTAACAACATCCAATTGAATTATTTTACCAAAATAATAACCAAAAAGTATAGTGTGAACTAGTTAATGTAGTGTTCGAAGATGAGGGAAAATCAACAATAATACGGGCTCTTCAGAAGTATCAGAATATAGGGAGAACTTCAATATATAAATTTGTAAGCCAGTTACATAAAAAAACATAGAGAGAACGTTCTAGAATAATATGCTTCCAAAGATAACTTATAAACACACGAAGTCAATCAATAAGTCAAATAAGAGCAGTCACCAAACAGATGAAAATTATACGTGAAGGAATATCTCAAAATTTTAGAGGAAAAAAAGAATATTTACCAACAAAAGTGTATGAAAAAGAAGCTTCCAGAGGATAAATACCTGCCTTTCATAGAAAAACATAGCAGGTTTACCAAATAAGACAGCGGTAGCTTGTTCTTTACAAAACTAAGCCTTGCTGAAAGAAAAATTAAAATCTTGCAAGCAAGAAATAGTTGAACGAATCAAGTCCCTTAAAAGTAACAACAAAGGAAAAGGTTGAGAAGCTAGAAATCCGACATAATGGAGCAAGATGGGCATCACCAACTGTTGGATCATGCGAATATGACAAGCATAGACAAAATATTGTAGAAACAAAACATGTGGCTGAGTTTCCGCATTGGCACCACAAAACACTGACAAAGAGGGTAAAGCAGCAGTAGGAAAAAAAATGGAAAACGGGCTCGATAAACGAAAGTGAAGACAAGCTGCCATCAAAATCTCCAACAACACATGAGCAAAAATTGTACGCAATGAATAGGTGCAACAAAGATGACAACCCAGAGTCTAATCAATAGTCGAGGCAAAGCTCAAGACTAGCCAATAAAGTGGATGCGTCGAGAGGGTGAACTTGATGACGATTATGCGACTGACAATGAGCCACAACAAAGAGGCCACAGGAAAAATATTGTGAGAGCCCTGGGAGAGAGAAACAAATGCAATAACCAAGATAGAATGGATGGTAATGAGCCCTCATCCAAATATTAGGTTTGAATGAATAAAACACTACCTTCTAAGGAAGAGGACATGAGAAGTTTGGTAATATTTGCAAATAAAGAAAAATAAATAAATCCTAGAGTTTTGAGAGGAGGGTACAACTAGCTTTTCTTAGAAAAGAGCCTAGCAAGCCATTATTGATAAATGCATTGGTTTCATTTCTATGAAAGCTCTATTATTTTTGCAACTGTGGGAGGCAAAATTAATCCTCATTCCCCATGATTCACTAGGCCTAGTTTTGAGCATTTTCTATTAGCTCAAATCATCTTCTTTGTTCTGAGTCATAGCCAGCTTTTTATCTCGAAAAATAAAAGAGCCACATTCGAGTGAAGAGTGGCTTGTTCAAAGTTCAATTCAAGTCAGCACAAATAAAATACACACAAGCATGTAGAAGTATATATAATATTATTATTTATAAAACTACAATTTTACGCTGCTATAAATTCTTTATTGTGCTTATTATCTATAATTTCATATTTCATAAATAAACAATTTGTGAAATTCACAAATGTGGCCATGTTTGTTTTATGCTTTTACTGTTTTTGTATGCTACCTCAAGCTAGTTTGGAATCGATTAGTTTTAAATCGAGGTAGCAAGACTTCGAAGATGGTTTACAAAAGTTTAAATTTGACTGAACTTGAACATTTAGAGTTTGAGAATAGTTCAACTTAATGTTACAAAACGTTGAAGAAAAACTTATCCAAGAGAGAGACACCCTGCATAAGCAGAAAGCTTTGCTTGTGTCATGCGTATGGTGACAACTTCCTAGTTTAAAACCCAATCGAAAGTTTACATTCTTTCCTTCCATAAGAGTTTTTCCTTTTAACTTATATTAAGTTTTTTTTCCTTTTAATGCTGCTGGCACTGTTGTTTTCCCGATTAAATTCATCAATTCTAAAGCTTCCTACCGTGTTCTTCTTCCCCCATTTCCATCAAAGCAAGCAACTATACCCACAAGCAAGCAAAAGAAGAGAGATGCAGTTAAGATGAATTTAATCCTATTTAACAGTCCAGATATAGCACCTCCAGAGATTCATATGGAAACACACAAACTAACATAAATGTTGCCCCACCTGAAAATTAGTTTGTTCTCCACAAATGAAGGCTATGATCAAGATGTGCATCAAACTACTAAAACTTCCAAAAAAACAATAAACATAACATTAGACACAATTATTTCATCATATGCGCAAATTTAACAAGGCTTAGAAGGGCAGATTTAAAAATATTCCACTCCATAACAACTTTGTACAATATTACAACGTGCAGCTTGTCTTCATTTGAAAAAATTGTGCTGCTTTGCAATCTGCAGCAACGTAAGAAATAAAATTGCACTACTCAGAGCAACGGATGAACTGCATTATGTCCTCCTAAACCATGAAACAGGATATAGGCCATAGGCCCATGGAATTTTTAACGTACGTATCCCACAAATGAAATTTACCATATCGTAGCATTCATAAAAAAAGTGCATTACAAAACAACCCTAAGTTTTGACCTTTAATTTTACTCTCAGTGGTGCATATGACATGTAAAATTCAGAAAAAAAAAATCATCGATAGAATGACCAGGATGCATTGTATGTTGATGCAAGTACAAAATAAACGCATTCAGAATGCTGCATCTTTAACGGATACACAAACTTGAATACTTAAAGCTTAATTACAAAAACCTGTAAGGCGAGCTCTCTTGTCGGGGTTAAAATAAGTGCCCGGAGGTGGCATTCCCTAGAACCTCTGGTGACTTCAATATCATTCTGAAGTAATCTTCCAGCCTTCTCCCGTTCTTCAAGAAGGCGTTGCAAAATTGGTAATCCAAATGCTAGGGTTTTCCCGGAACCTGTTTGAGCTGCACCAATGACATCCTGTGAAATAAATGAAAATGAATAGTCGTCTGAAAGACCCAAGTGGCTTGAGGAATTTCAAGCAATTTGCAATAAAAGATTGCAATGATAGATAGCTATGAGATAGGATGAATACGCCCACACTAATCTGTGCAATAACGAAGCGAAACATATTATCAAAGAAAGATTTACATACATACCACTCAATTGCTATGAATTTACATATCTAAGACCTAAACTTCAATTTCTTACATCTATGCCACATTAACTATGAATGAAAAGATGTATTCCATTTTTTTAAAAGTTAAAATAGTGGTATTTTATATGACATGAAAGATATGGATGGTAAAAATATAAATGTAAATTTTGGGTGTTAGATACATAAATATATAGGAATTGGGTGGTACAAATGTAAATGCCCCAAAATAAAAAAAAAACCTATATGTACTACAGGAATCATATTTGTCAATAGTAAATACTAAATAGCACACTGTTGTGAGAGAGTTTACAATTGTCCAAGTGGATAATCATATCTTGTAGTGCAATAGTTTAAAAATAGTGCAAAACAGTAAAAACAAGAATATTTTATCACGAATTCAACAATATAATAGAAAAGTAACCAAAAAATAAACAAAAAAACACAAATAATGTCATATAAAAACAGCATAAGATTATATTAACATAAATGATGCTTAAAAACAAAAAATCATGGCAAAGAATAAAATTAGATTTAAAAATCAAACTATCATGGTTTTTGCATTGCTTAATATATGATATTTATATCAATGCATAATAGCTGAACAAAATATTAAAATTTGGAGCATAAGCTCAAAATGTAAGAAATGCTTAATAACAAATTTCATGTTCATCAAAACAAACTAGTCATCCAAAAAAATTATCACAACACAAAACAACCTAAAGAACAAACCTTTCCATGATGAGCTGCAATAGGAATGCAAGCTTGCTGTATTGGAGTAGGTTTTATAAATCCAAGCCTGCGCATTGATTTTATCAAAAGAGGATGGAGTCTGAGTTCATTCCAAGCAGAAATTCCATCATCACCGAGTGGTTCTTCATCTGTACCACTGTCAGGATTGGTTTTGTTAATGTCTGCTAAAAAAGGAACAAAATCAGTGATAAAATCATAGAAAAAAAAAATCTTCCGCTTGCAGTTTCACCACTCTGCAAATTTCTTATTAAGAAAACTAGTATTTATGTCATAAAACGAAAATAAGCGCCAGAAAAGGTAAGTTCCATGAAGAAAACAAATATCAGAAACAAATGGCAATGGGGTAAAACTTTGCTTCTAGAGTATGTATATAATCGGCATTAAACGTGTAAGCTTCATGTTAGCCAATGAAAAAGGGTAAGCAAAGAATATTTAAGTCAAGTAATAAGTCGAAATAAAAAGAAAAGAGAAATAACATGCAATTTTACCAAACACCATACACTCCAAAGCATGATCAAAAGGGACTTTAGTTTACATCATAAGACCAACATAATGTAAGAACATAAAACAAAACATGTTTAATAGCGCCAACATTGGGTAGATCTGAAATAGCCAAATTGCCATAAAGAGAGAAAACGTCTTATTAAGCAAATTATCATTCATAAATTAAAAAGTCTCCATTTTTTAAGCTGTAGGCTTATCCTATCAAGCCCAAGCCATTGATTTCTAAGGGTCTGTTCTCCAGTACACCAGTGAATAACAAATCTTAAGCTACATGCCCTCATATCTTATCATCTAGTCCTGTCACCTTAATAAAAATAAGCACTCAAAGCAACAAACTAAAAACCTTCACTATTGCTCTAAATTCATCCTCAAACACCTAACTCTTCAATGGAAAACAAAAATCTAATTTCACAATAAAATCTTAGTCTTCCACCTAAGTAGCACTGGTGTAAAAGAGCCGCAAGAGCCCATCCCACAATTCCTTCATTTATACCAAACTGATCCATAGGAGAATCCAATTATATTTATCTATGGTTTATATATGTGATTCATGTGTTTTAGATTTTCGGTTTTCTTCATGCTTTCTATCCAGAAAGCCGTCGACTTCCAGGTTCTCCCTTCAAGGGTTCTATCCGACGACGAGTGGTGCTCTGGTTGTATCCCATGTGAGGATAACTATTCTCGACCTTCCCACTCCTCCCCAACCTTCTCTCTATTGTCGTCGTCACCGTATTTGCTATAGCCACCGAAGAACAGTCACTTTATCGTTTTATGCAATCGCCTAACACCTATCCACCCTTCCCAATCTGCTGCCCCTTTCCGCCAACCCTCCTCTGCACTGTCATCATCTCGAGGACAAGTCACTTGCCACCTTTTCGCAGTCCAACTTCTCCATAAATATTGTATTCCCCTAGGCCACCCAACCCCCTCTTCATAGTGTTGTTGCCTCACCCCAGCATCCCATATGCTCAGTCCAACACTCTCCACACCTTCCACCTCTGTAGTCGATCACCACCACCCCCGAAAATATCCCTAGTTTCAGTTTATGTGTCGTGTTTATTGTTATTTCCTATTTTTGTGTTAATTGGTTGTACTCATTTGATTTCAGTAATAAAATTTGCATTTCTCATTATTGTTTGGTTAACTCCGATATCATTTGACATCTGAGCTAGTATAATTTTAGCTCTTTCATTATTGTTTGGTTAACTCCGATATCATTTGACATCAGAGCTAGTATAACTTTAGTAGCTCTTTCCTAGGGTTTCTAGAAACCACTTATACCCAACCCTATTCCACCTAAAAGTTTTCTTTAACACCCTACATCACCCCTACACACCTCCTTCCACCTACCCACACCAAACCCTAATTATGGCACCAAGGCGGCAATTGTCAGAACCTGATCATGAGTTTACCATAAACGAGATGCTGTGTGAATTTTGTTGAGTGCTACAACAGCTCGTTGAACTAGAGAAATGACCAGGGAGAGGTCGTCGAAGTGCGTGGTATCGAGATACGAAGAGGAGAGAGGGAGCAATAACTGATCAATTATGTAGGGATGATTTCAGTGGAGAAAAAGGTAAACCATGGCGCTCTAGGATACAATATCAGAAAAATTTGAAAGTGAAGTGTCCATTAGAGGATACAGAAATGATGTCCATTAGAGAATATCAGAAAAATTTTTAAGTGAAGTGTCCATTAGAGGATACAGAAATGAACTGTCCATTAGAGGATACAGAGATGAACTGTCTGTTGGAGGATACAGAGATGAAGAGTTTGTTGGTAAATATAGAGATGAAGTGTATATTAGAGGAAATAGAAATGAAGTGTTTGTTGAAGAATACAGAGGCCAGGAGTAAAACTAGCATATGTGATTTTGATGGAAGAATGAATCTGGATGATTACATAGAGTTGTCGCGGACTAGAGAGAGGGTGATTGAATACAAGAAGGTGCTAGATGATCAGAAACTGAAACTAGCTGCTATCAAGCTGAAGAATAGCACACCCTTGTGTTGGGAGAACCTAAGAAGGGAGAGAAACAGAGAATGATAGAGCAAAATTACAACCTGGGAGAAGATGAAGAGAGAGTTATAGCGACAGTACCAACCCACACACTACTGTCAGGATATTTGGTGGTGTTGCTACCTACAACAAAGGGATCTATCAGTAATGTACACAACAAAGTTTATACAGCTTAAGCTGAAATTTGAACTGACGGAGCCAGAAGAGCATGTGATAATCAGATACTTGGGAGGCTTGAAGCCCACCATCGGCAATATAGTCTAGCTACAACCTTACTGATCTTTGATAAACAATCAGACTTCGACACTAAAGGTGGAGAAAAAGCAGAAGTATGCACCCACTATCATTCAGACAATCACCCGCAATTGAAGATATCTGTAGGAGCATGCCTCACGGAGTTAAGAAAACTGGTCGGGAGAAGAAAAATGTCACTCAGAGTGAGAAAAAACCTGAGAAAAGTAGCATGCACACTACATTCCCAATCAAGAAATACATGAGATACCATTGATATGAGCAAATGGCCTCCACTTATCTGACGAATCAAGTTGTGTCCTTTTAAAGACTAAGGTGCAGTAGAGAAAAATAGTGATGATAAGGCATCTGAAGAAAAGGGTGAGGAGTATCATATTTCCACCGGATGAGGACAAGATGTTGATAGTTCGACGGATCCTACAAACTGAGGCTACGAGGAATTAGTAGTGGCTTAGCCACACCATATTTTACACATGTTCCACTATGAAAAAAAAAGGAATGCAATATCTTTATCGATGGAGGGGACAACAAGAATGTGACATTACACAGATTGTGGATAGTTCAACCTCGAAACTCAGAGACACTCCCAGCCATACTCTCTGATGTGGTTGAGAAAGAGTTACAGTAATGACAAGAGGCGTCTCTTGGAATTTTCGATTGGGAATCATTAGTAAGATCAAATTTAGTGCTACGTGGTGTCCGTGGATGCCTCCATCTTTTGTAGGGGTGATTGTGGCAGTTTGATCATCAAATTCAGCATGACAATTTCAGAAATATCTACTCCACCATCAAACATGATAAGTGCATGGTCCTTCTCCTGCAAACTTTGAGATTACAGGCCCTTGGTAGTAGAGAAGTGCCACTAGGATATGTTTTGGTGATGATAGAGGAAAGCGGGACAAATCTGCTGATTTCAGATACAAGCCAGTTACTACATAGAGCATGTTAGGACATCATGATCGACGCCTTAACATCATGACTGGCACTGTTAGAATTTAGTAAGTTCTCACATTAGGAAGGAATGAGCAAACCTGTGACAACCTTTGAAAGAAACTGCAAGGTACACTTGACACAAATCCAGTTCAATTTAGCAGTGCACCCTCATATGGTTGAACTGATATGAATGACTGCTCGCAAGTGGGAAAACACCTCAAGTGTTTTAGGAGATAGTGCAATCAATAGTGGGATACAGGTGCTTCTCGGGTTGCAGTAGAATATCCTTCAACCCCGAAAAGTTACAGCAACTCCACAACTTCCAACATGCAGACAAAAACTTCAACAAATGAAGTTGAAGCTCCCCCAATCTCCTAAGATTGACACGGGCATAAAGGAGTCTCAATAGCCCATCTTGTGATTCATTCGTCTAGACCAAACCGAACCAAATTTGGGAGGGAGGGTCGACCAGCTCTTCTGTGTTGGTTTGACGCCTCCTTTCCATAGAGGGATCCAATCCTAATTAACTAGGGCTTATATATGTGATTCCTATATTTTAGGAATTTAATTTTCGTGTTTTCTATCAAGATAGTCGACAGCATGCATGTTTTTTAGTTGTATCTCCGATGTGGTGATTATCCTCGACCTTCTCATTCCTCTGCAAGCTTCCCTCTGTTGCAATTGTCATCGTATTTGCCGCAACAACAAAAAAACAACCACTTTATTGTTTTCCTATAGTCTACCACTTCTCCAGCCTTCCCAATAAGACCTATGCGTTGAGCAGATTGGGTTCGACGTGGGTCGATCTTATTCAAGTTTTGACTAGTCAAAACGGGCTCGCGCCAGGCTTGATCGGATTCTATTTATAATTTCATAGTCAGGCCGCCCACTAAATGGCTTGCAAATCGTCTGGGCTTTAAAAGAAAAGTTATTTTTTATACCAAATAAAAAAATAAATAATAAAATCTTTAATATTTTCTCTCAAATTATGATGTTGATTTAAAATATTAAAAAAATGTAATATGAATGTTTGAAACAATAAAGAATGTGCGACAAGAGTTCAAAATTAATTTTATATGTAAAAAAATGTAATATGAATGTTTGAAACAATAAAGAAACAAGAGTTCAAAATTAATTTTATATGTACAAAATTTTTTTTATATGTACTTATAAATTTAAGTTGATTTAATAGCAAATGAATACACACAAAATACATAAAATTGTAAACTGAAAACAAATAGATATGTAACTACAAAACAGTTGAGTAAAATGCTGCAAAAAAAAAAAAAAAAATTACATACATACTTATCAACTTTTATTTGATTACATATCTAACAATTGGACTTCAATATTTATATATTTATTATCGTATATGCCTAAAAGTTGTATTTCATTTTAAAAAGAAAACTAAAAGTGATAATTTTTATGAAATATAAAAGATTTGGTTGGTATTAATATAAAAATTAAAATTTGGCTAGATAAAGAAGAGAAAAAAAAGAGGAAATTAATCGCCTCAAAAGCCTGCAATTGCGAAATGTATTCATGAAAATGGGCCAATGGTCGAATCAAGCTCATTCGGACTTGACTAAGTCAAAGCGGGCCCGAGCCTTCATAGCCAAGCTCACCTATTCTAGGCGGAATATTGACGAGCCCGTCGGGCTGCCCGCCCAATGCCTAGGTCTATTCCCAATCTGCTGCCTCTTGCCGCCAACCATCCTCCTCATTAACATCATCGTGACGACAAGCTGCTTGCCGCCTTTCTCCAGCCATCCCCTCCATACTTGTTGTCTTCCCCTAAATAGCAACACGACACCCTCTTCGCTTTCTCCAGCCATCCCCTCCATACTTGTTGTCTTCAATAGCAACACGACACCCTCTTCATAGTGTTGTTGCCACACACCAACAACCCATATTCTCATTCTATCACTCTCCACCCCTTCGCCCCGCCCTAGCCGATCACTACCACCCCCGAACTCACCCTAGTTTTAGATTATGTGTTGTGTTTGTTATCATTTCATATTTTTATGTATTTGGTAGTACTCCTTATTTGATTTCCTAATAAAATTTCCATTTGCATTGTTGTTTAGTTAACTCCGGCATCACTTAGTATTTTTTTTCTTTTTCGTGGTAATCTTTCGAAGCAAAAAAATAAAAAAAATACATAAAAGCCTCAAAATGATCATAGGCACCAGCCTCCTTTCCCCTTATTCTTCATTGTCTTTCCATGGATATAAAAGATCTCCCGCCAATAACATATTAAAGCTAAGTTCAAAATCGGTATAATCCAAGTAGATGGCCAATATCTAATCTAATCCAACTAATTGGCCAATTTATTACCATACATGCATGACGCAATTGCATGAAGCGATATGTCAGCAATTGCATTAAGCGATATGTTACTCTAAGTAATACGTTTTTCATAACTTCATTTTGTGAATTGCATTTTTTATCGCTGAAGGAGTGCCATAAAAATGGCACTTCAAAACAGGCTCAAATATTCATACTGAGAAAAATGTAGTAGATAGCTGTATTTGGAGATATCATCCCAAGGATACAAATAAAATGGAATTGATAAGGGTTAAAGGTAAGCAAAAAACATTGACAGAAATCATATGTGAATCAAGTCCATGAAAAAGCTAAAATAGAAATAAATGCACGCTGCCAAGCTAAGGATAAAAACCTGAAGTACAAAAGGATCTCAGATTTCTGAAAATAATAACAAGGAGTGACCATCAAAACAAAAAGAAGACAAACATAATAAACTCACATTATGATCAATGGAAATCCAAACTTAATGTCATAAACATGAAAGTGTAGAGTAGGAAAAGACCAAACAATGGGAAAATCAAGTATTTGGAAAAGATGGGGTGAAAAGAAGAGAATATTTAAACAGAATGAACAGATATTCAATAAACCAAAGCACGTGCTTTGCTCCATTCATCCACAAAAAACAGCTTCTGTCCTATATAAAGACCAAGTAAAGTGCACAGTGGCATCTCCTTGGCATGAGAGTAGACAAAAACTTCAAGAGGAAATGTAAGAATGGCTCAGTAAGTATGCTTTCTAAATAACGAATACCACCGCAACAGAAGTTAACATGAGAAGAAAATCTTTTTATCTTTAGGGTAAGGGTAATGTAAATGTGAATAAGGATTGCTGCAACATTGCTATGCCATCTCGCCGAAATTGGCTCAGCAAGTAATTGCATGATTAAGAATTTAACTCCTATATAGTTCAATAATCTTAAAAATCCCTTTCATTGTCAGATTTTTATACCAAAATATTTTATCTAAAATCGCTCAGCAATATTTTAGTATATGTGATCTCACATAAATAATTTAGCAAAAATAATTAATATCCACAATAAACATCTAAATCAGGGATTAGCTAAATTTACATGAAAGCTTTTTGTAAATTAATGGCCACTTTTTAAATCACCCATAAGGAAAGCTTGCGAATAATAATTAATATCCACAATAAACATCTAAATCAGGGGTTAGCTAAATTTACATGAAATTCAAGCAAGAGTTAGCATAAATGCTACCGAAAGGTCAAAATGATTACTTTAAATCCTACATATCGTATACCCTATTTCTTCTCTTGTTTGCCTTGAATCCTGAATTTAGTAAATCCTAGCATTGGCGCATTTAGTAAATCCCAGCAATGGCCACTTTTTAAACCACCCATAAGGAAAGCTTGCGAACTCTTGTTCTTGTCCCGTCGTTGGTCCTATCAATGCCTTCTCCAGTGGCTACCGTCATGATTTTATAGCTTTTTTATGAGCGTTTCAAATATTTAGGGTAAAAGTGTTGGGAAAAAAAAATTAGGTGATGTGTTACCACGGTTACACAGGTCAGCATGTCCCAGATCTCAGAATCGAGAGATTAACGACCACGTGAAATCCTTTTGTTATTTTTTTTCATATTTTCAGCAAGTTTCCTCCTTTTATTTCTTTTATTTCTAATTCTTTCCTATTTTTCCATTTTCCAATTGGATATGTTCTATTATGAGACTTTTATATGTGTTGTGGTTGGGCTGTTGGGATATTCAGAACTTTTAAATTTACAAAAGGTGATCCTCCTCTTTGTACGCACCTCCCTAATTTGTTGTTTGTCGGATGTTTTCAGTTAGCCAGCCATCGACGCCACTGTCACCTGATGTTCACAGCAGAAAACTGCTCATTTTCCACTTCTTGTTCGCTGTCCTGTCATT